AATATGAACAAGAAATTCACTAAAACACCATTACTGTTCTGTTCTCTTTTTTATCATCAATCAATAGGTCGCATAGATGATTTCAAATCAGTACTAGTCACAAGTATTTTTAATTGGTACAATGTATAAATCACATGACTATATACAAGTATATACAAGTAAAATATACAAATATACAAAATATACAATGTACTACATAATAAGTAATTTATGAACTTAAATCAACAACTTTCATATTACGTAAAGAAAACTAAACTCTAAACTATTTTTATTCGGCGTCCACATTACAAATACCTTGATGTGGAGTTAGTGTTCATGAAAATGTTTGCAATGTGGTTGGGGGGAAATTCTATATTCTTTTTAATGTTTGGAGAGTGGAAAATGATAAGGGTTAAAACATATCAAATTCTTATCTATTATTGTATACAATAGATAAACTAATCAGTTTTTTTGTTTGTACACAGTAACTATTTCAAAATACCAAAAAAAGAGATCTCAGCAAGTGTGAGAAAACTACAGAGGCATCACTCTTCTTTCAATACCAGGCAAAGTCTTCAAACAGGGTATTGTTAAATAGAATGAAGGACTTTGTAGACTCCCAACTTCGAAACCAACAGGTTGGATTTCGTAAGGATCAATTGTGTACCGACCGAATTGCAACATCACGGATCATTGTGGAGCAGTCACTTGAATGAAACTCACCACTCTACATCAACTACATCGACTACCAGAAAGCATTCGATAGCGTGGATAGGAAAAAACTGTGGAGGCTTCTTCGACACTACGGTGTGCCTGAGAAGATAGTCAAAATCATACGGAATTCTTATGATGGATTCAACTGCAAAATCGTACACGAAGGACAGCTCACAGACTCTTTCGAGGTGAAGACCGGTGTCAGGCAAGGTTGCTTACTCTCACCCTTTCTCTTTCTCCTGGTGATCGACTGGATTATGAAGACGTCGACATCTGGAGGGAAGCACGGTATCGACTGGACGGTTAGGACGCAGCTGGAAGATCTGAACTCCGCAGATGACCTGGCCTTTCTACCGCACACACAACAACAAATGCAAGAGAAAAAGACCAGTGTAACGGCATCCTCAGCAGCAGTAGGTTTCGACATACACAACGGGAAAAACAAAATCCTCTGATTTAACGCAACATGTGCCAACCAAATCACTCTTCATGAGGATGCCCTGGGTGACTAAAAACCTTCACATATTTAGGTAGCATCATTGACGAGTATGGTGGATCTGATGTAGATGTGAAGGTACAGAATGGTAGAGCAAGGGCAGAATTGCTACAATTGAAGGATGTCTGATAGTCATAACTGCTACAAACCAACACCGAAGTCACAATTTTTAATACAAATGTCAAGACAATTCTACTGTATGGGGCGGAAACTTGAAGAACCAGGAAAGTCATCATCCAGAAGATACTAGTAGTTATGAACAGTTATCTACGCAAAATACTTCGGATCTGTTGGCTTGACACTGTCAACGACAACCTACTGTGTGAAGAAACAAATCAGATTCCAGTAGAGGACGAAATCAGAAAAAAGCAAAGGATGTGTACAGGACATACAATGCGGAAATCACTCAACTGTGTCACAAGACAAGCCCTCACTTGGAGTCTTCAAGGTCAAGAGTAAAAAGGAAGTCCAAGTAACATATTATGCCAAGAAATGGAGACAGACATGAGAAGAATGAACAAAAATTGGACAGAACTGGAAACAGAAGCCCAGGACACAGTAAGTTCGAGAATGCTGCTCAACGGCCTACGCACCATTGGGGGTAACAGACGTAAGCGGGTAGATAAGTAAATAGTAAATATTTGAAAGAAATCATTGATTTACACTGAATATCAACTTTTAACCTTAACTGTAGATAAAGTTAAAATGTATATATCTTTTTATCACTGAGAAAGACTGAAACATTGAGAATAACTAGCAAAGAAGAAATAGAGGAAAAGGTGCATATATATGAAGAGGAATGCTGGAACTCAGTAAATTTCAGGCATATATTACTATAGTGAACGAGTGTTGTACAATGTTCGAAAATACTATGCAATAAGATAGCTAGGTCATATTGTAGTGAATGAGAGCACAGGTGGGGCAACCGAATTGTATTTAACGAAAATTACAGAGTTACTCAGTAAAATCGGAAAACCATATCGTAAATCGTTCATTTGCAAAATATCAGTTCATCATATCGAACTGGACTGTTCCTGTTACAAAACATCAATCCATTGTCACTATTCATGCGTTCGTTTCATACAAATTCCATTGTATTCCAACTCTTCCTTTCTTGATCTTCCACCATCATCTTCTGCTGCCAGACATTACGTTGACACTCACGTCATATACTACTTATAAGTAGAGCGCACCACACCACAATACTACTACTGAATATCAATTTTTATTAACACCATGGAACGTGAATATATATATATATATATATATATATATATATATATATATATATATATATATATGCATATATTATGTCTATTCTAATAAGCTTCAACTTTGTGTCATGAAAATGTATTTTCCAACAAATCAATATCAGCATAACATTGTCTTGCATTGATTCAAACAACAACCAACGCCAACAACCACCAACAACAACAAAATTAACTCATTACTTACTACTATGCTGACATATTGATTCACTTGAAACCACCACATGATCTTCAATATTCAATGCTTCCATACTTCTAAAAATAGAAAATAAAAAGACAAAAGACAAAACACAAATTAATCAACACAATGAAAGAAAGCTGCTTACTTGATGATATAAATAAAGAAATATATGTATGTATGTATGTATGTTCCAATGAAAAAAAGTACAACCAACCAATATAGTAAAAAAACATTTTGATTACAGATCATCATCACAATTGAAAATAATTATAGAATACATCATTGAAAAATACTACTCTTCATTTAATAAAATTTATGAAACACACTTCAATAATTAACTTTAAATGGCCAGTAATATATGAAGAAATTGATGAGTAGGCAATAAGCTGGGACAACCGAGTAAGCAATGCTATCGTTAGGAAACAAGTACTAGGTAAGGGTGGCAGATTAATAGATGAAGTATTGAAACTTCATCAGTTGAGGTGGTTGGGACATGTGTTACGTATGCCTAACCACTGAGTGCCTCGAAGAGCGATGTTTTGTAGTATAGGAATAGTTTGGAAGAAAGCTAGGGGCAGCCAAACCAAAACATGGCAGAAATGCATGAAATCACTGACAAGTGGACTGAGTCATGTTGGTAGATGTAGACTATCACCTGGTTGGGGTCCACGAGACGAAAGTCACCAATGGTTAGAGACTTTGAACGACATGGCTCAAAATCGTTTGCAATGGCGAAAGTGAATCCATTCGTTGAGTTCTCTCAAATCCTTATCTTCTGGATTCGTCAGCACATCTACCTTTGTCTTTCTAACCTTATCTCCCTGAATTATATTTCTTGAATAATATCTTCAAACCATAGTCTTCTTCATTTTACCATTAATATCTCTACTATCTTTATCACTATGGGATTTGATTTGACATTTGCGTCTCTGTGCTAATGTGGGTATGGTAACATGAACTTATGTACATACGTACGTAGTTCTATGTTGCAACTGACTGACTAACTGAATAAGCTGATATTCAGGTTGAATAAAAGAAACAATTTTAAAACACTTACACTCGAGTATATATTATGAGAAAGAAGAGACATGGAATTTTGAAGTACAGAAAAAAGTTATCAAAGTATACTGTTGGGGATGTTAGATCCCTAGAACTCGCTTGATTAATGCCTTATTTTGGATTTCACGTTTGCGAGGATGGGCTGATCAGTTGACCTTGAGATTTTAATTCCCACTAGGAAAATCCATGGCTGTGATTGGCTACTGTGTATTTTAGTGTGCTATTTTCTTAACTGTCTCAAGGACGTTTCTATGATGTATAAATAAACGAGAGTGTACGCTTGATTGTACTGTGATTGCTGGGTGCTTGTAGAATATACTTTCTACGCTTACCAAGCCTTCTGTTTACAGCTTGGGATTCAAGGTAGCCTAACTGGACGCTGGTTCATTGTCTCATTCGCATTTATTAACTAAGGTGAACTCATAATAGCTTCAAGCATACCTAGTGACGAACATAACATATACACACATAGAGTGACAGTCAGTCAGTCAATCAGAAAAGTACAAATGCTATCATGTGAAGAATGATTCAATCAGTAAAATATGTAGTCTTAGGTTACGACGAATGACTAGTTAGATTTCACGTTAAAAGTGACAAAAATCGATTAATCACGTAATCATTGCTCTTTAGAAGGTGGGTAATTACGTAGACTTACAGATTTGAGGCATGGAAATAATAGATACCATTGAATTTCTAAATGTTAATGAGCTTAGGGCAGTACTGGAAGCAGAGTACATATAAACCTTTTAGTCAATCCATTCATGTGGTAATGCTGTTCCCATCGATTAAACTATGAATACGGTATTTTAAACGTTCATCATTGATGAGAAAACATTTCACGTAAAATTATATTTGTATACATTTCATCAAACACAACACTAATTTCATGATCAACATAGGTGAGATTTATTTAGATATAAGAAAAGTCATGAAACTCAAATACATAACTGTTAAACATTCAACATCTAAAAACTATCAACTACTAATTAAAATTAGTACAAAGTCTTAATCTTAAATGTATGTTATTATAAAACTTAGGTATATCACGTGTGTCGCTTCAAGATCGGCATGCGTCGGCACCTGAACTAGTGATAGGGAGTGAAGTAGTCGAGTGTGTAGACTGCTTCACTTATCTTGGGAGTCTCATCAGTGCTGATGGCCTGGTGACTGACGAAATCTCAGCTCGGATACAGAGGGCTCGATTGGCTTTCGCCAACCTGCGTCATTTAAGGCGTAGGCGAGACATCCGTAAGCTAACCAAAGGACGAGTCTTCTATGCAGCATTTCGTTCTGTCCTACTTTATGGTTGCGAAACATGGCCATTAAGAGAAGATGTCTTCAAAGCATTGCTCGTATATCCTGAGATAACCGACTAAGCAATGCTGTCGTTAGGAAACGAGTACCTTGTAAGGATGGCCGATCAATAGATGAAGTAGTGAAACTTCATCAGTTGAGGTGGTTGGGACATGTAATACGTATGCCCAACCACTGACTGCCTCGACGAGCTATGTTTTGTGGTGTAGGAGTAGGTTGGGAGAAAGCTAGAGGCGGTCAGACCAAAACATGGAAGAAATCCATGAAGTCACTGATTAATGGATTGATTCATGTCGGTAGGTGCAGGCTACCTTGTTGGGGTCCGCAAAATGATAGTAATCGATGGTTAAAGACCCTGAATGTCATGGTTCAAAATCGTCTGCAATGGCGCAGGTGCATCCATTCTTTGTGTTCTCTCACATCACAAACTTCTGAATTCCTCATAACCTTTATCTTTTTCTACTAAGTTTATTTCACTTGATTCTACTTCTTGATTAATATCATCGAAGCTTAAAATTACCGATTACTGCTAGTACTTCTACAACCTCTACTGCTATGGGATTTGAAGTAACAACTGCATCTCTGTGTTAATGTGGTATGGCAACTTGAACTGATGTACATACATACGAAGTTCTACGTTGTTGACTGACAAGCTGTGTTCCGATTTCAGGGACTACTTGAGTGTTGTACAATGTTTGAAGAATACTATACAATAAGATAGCTAGGTCATATAACCAAAATAATTAGCACTGACACATACATTTCCGCGTATTTCTTTCGGTTCCCCTAATTATATATGGTGTGCCTGCAAGCTAATAATTCCCGAAGATGGCTTAACAATACAGTCCCCTACTGTTCGATGAAACAGTGTACTTCAAAGTAGAATATTCTATCGATTGAATTTATTGAAAATCAACAATCAATATCGTTTAAAGCCACTAGATCATAAGAAACTTTCAGTAAATACAACTATCACTCACTAATAATTATAGAATATAACCCAAAAACTTAGAGGCAATTGATTAAGAAATCTAACCATCTGACCATTAGTCACGTTATTGGTATATGAACACAATTAAACATATTATCATGTGCTAAATAAAACTAGAGTTCTATAATAGAAAAGAATTATTTACAATCGATTCTGTTATACTAAATAGTGATGATAGTATCTTAGCTTTATACTGACTACTGAGTATTTTATGCATATTTCAATAGCTTTTCCATTATCATAGTGTGGTACAAGCTACTTATAAGTAGTATATGACATGAGTGTCAACGTAATGTCTGGCAGCAGAAGATGATGGCGGAAGATCAAGAAAGGAAGAGTTCGAAAACAATGGAATTTGTATGAAACGCATGAATAGTGAGTGACAATGGATTGATGTTTTGTAACAGGAACAGTCCAGTTCGATATGATGAACTGTTATTTTGCAAATTAACGATTTACGATATGGTTTTCCGATTTTACTGAGTAACTCTGTAATTTTCGTTAATTACAATTCGGTTGCCTTCACCTGTGTTCTCGTTCACTACAACAGTATCAAGTTTTGTAATAGATTTGCATACCACTGACTTTTTCTAATATAATTAGGAATTTTCTATCTGCATGGTGAATTAAAATGAAAACCAAGGAAATTCAGCCGACAATTTCATTGATCTATTCTCACATAGATTCACGCATAGATTTCATCTGTTCGCTAAGCTAACTAATTGGGTTTATATTCTAGAAACTGGGTATTTCTTCCGGTACCATGTGTACCAATGATGAAACAAAATAGTAATCTTAGTTTAAAAGCTCCATGCCTCCAAACAGTATTATCCTAATCTCAAACTATTCAGCTCTTCATAGCTATCCATGGTTAGGATAAGAAGCGATTTCCCAAAAATTCAAGGTTTTATGAGTGATCAACAGACTTATCACGAACCAAATTAGTCAAAATGAATAACCTAATCAAAAACATAGTTTACAGTAGCTCCAATCCAACAATTTTCATCATTATTCTGATCGGTCATTTCTACCCGTCTCAAGGTTATCAGTATAGTTTAGTTTTACCGACTGAATATTGTGAATGTCGTCCAAAAAAATTAGATAATCACCCAAAGTCTTAAACATGGACCATGGTTATTCAATAGATTCAGATAGCTTGACCCCATACAAACATAGTGTAGTTCAGAAGTAAATGATTACAAGCCTTTGATGATTACATTTTATTAACACATATAGCTGAAAGGGTTCTTCTTCTATAACAACTACTTACAATAATATATTCTGATTTCATATACTCCGAATTAACTAGGTATTTTTAATCAGTACCTCATTCTTTTGTTTTGTAGTGTAGGAATAGGTTGGAAGAAAGTTAGGGGTGGCCAAATCAAAACATGGCAGAAATCCATGAAGTCATTGACGAGTGGACTTAGCCATGTCGGTAATTGTCGACTACCTACCTGGTTGGGGTCCGTGAGATGATAATAATCGATGGTTAGAGACCTTGAATGACATGACTCAAAATCGTTCGCAATGGCGACGGTGCATTTAGTCTTTGTGTTCTCTCAAATCCTAATCTTCTGGATTCTTCAACACCTCTAGTTTTGACTTTCTAAACTTTTCTCACTGAATCATACTTCTTGAATAATATCTTCTAATCCTAACCTCTAATACCTTTACTACCTTTTCTACTATTGCATTTGAATTGAC